TTCATCATTATCTATTTGTACGACAATGTAGTCAAGTGGCTTCTTCTACTGACTTCCAATTCGATCGACTACAGGAGCAAAGTTCGAGACCAGGTTCCAGCGTATATCAGAACTATTTCAACAAATCGATCGGCTAGCTGCTAATGAAGTAAAACGTAAGTAAAATGAAATAAAGTGGTACTTGGCACAATTTCAAGTATATTTCGTTCATAAAGAGTTCAGAGTCGCGAATAGTTTCTTTTTTTCAATATTCTATTTTATCAGTTAAAAGTGCTTAGATGTTTGATCCTAAGCACTTAAAAGTGCTTAGATGCCTTGTTCTAAGCACTTTTAGTCGCTTAAAAATGTGCGCTGAAAGGTGCTGTTTAAGCGGATTTTTAAGCGAGTTTAAGCTAGCTTTTTCGCTGAAATTTTCACATGGGTAATAAAATGAACATTGTTCAAGATCCAAACACTTTGAATACGTTTTTCTAAACAAAAACATCGAATCTTTTAAGAAAAAACTATAGAAGCTTTATTACGAGATACATGTCAAAGTGCGCTTGCATCTTTTTATAATATAAGATAACTCAGTGTAACGAAATGTTTCGTGGGTCATTATTCTTTGGTTCTGGGTGAATTGATAAATCAAAATATAACGTTACGGTTTTTGCTGATATTTATTTTAATAACAATATGAGCACACACAGATAATAACAATTGATAAATGATTACAATACATACAATAATAATAAATGGAGAACGATTATCGTTTCACGATTCTAAGTTATAACTTCCATTTTTTATTTCTAACTCAGTGACCCTCTTCCTTAAATTATCTATATCACTCCTTCTCAATGCTGCTCCAGAATTATTTCTCCTTTCTCTACTTTACGTCTCCCCCTATCTCACTATATCACCGTTCTTTTATACTCTCGCTCTTTTCTCTTTCTCTATTTTCTTCTATATTTCTATTCATTACTATAAACGGAAATTATGAACTAAATAAAGAATAACTTAGGCCATTTCGATTATTTCATTGATTGACAATAAACTCCTGATTCTATCTTTATCATACTTGGCCTGATGACGTACTGATAATATCAAGAGGATATTCTTTCTTATTATGACCTAACCTTGCACTAATGCTTTTATGAACATCGTACTATATGATCGTTCTTGTCGACTACTCTAATTATCCATATAGGGAATAAGAAGAAATTCCATAATGGGGAAACGTAGATATCTGAATCAAGAGGGAGTGTATCATTCATAAAAAGGTATACATGATTTTCTGAATATATGAGAATATAGATTATTGGCACACTCAGTCATTAGTATAAATTATAAACTCTATTTATTCGTCTCCTATTACATTAAAATGATCCCCTAAATGTTCCGTATATTCCTAATTTCGTAAATAAGTGTAGAAAACATCTGAATCTTTTAGATTAAAATAATACCTAGAAATGTTTTGATCTGTTGAATTCCATCATGATCATCAGGATGAAAATTACATTGATTTAATAGATATTGTTTGAAGAGCAACACTTTATATACTGTTGGTTTTGTATCTGAACTCAATTGTTCAATTACTTCCTCAAATGGTTTGAAGAATCAGCAAATATATGAAAGTAAATCCTTATCTATTGATTCATAATCATTCATAAGAGTTCGATCTAAAACACCACGTAATTCATCGAACACTAATAAGAAAACATTCATTGTTAAAAATGCATCATTGAATCAGGTATCAGAATATGATTGAAGTTTACGAGATAATTCTGTTTGTTTATGTGTTCGTCTGATATGAGATACAATTTTTCGTACATGAAAGAACATTTGCTGAACGATGTCGCATTTAACTGGAGCTTTATCAACAATATCTATGGTGAAACAGTATTCAAGTTGCTTATTAACATAATGAATTGAACATCCAATCCGAATACACGAGTCTTTGAAAGCTGATTTCATCTTGTTCGCATCATCAGATACTACAAATTTATTATTATCTAAGGACAAATTGAATTCCATTAATTTACAATCAACAAATTGTCGAATTTGATTTGCAGTTTGATTATCGTGATCATATGGAAAACAACCAAGAACAAAAACATGTAATTGTAATTCTTCATTTAAATGAGAAAGAGCAATACCACAAAAACTGATACCTGAAAAAATATAAAAGGTGCTAATATTAATACTAGATTCATTATTTTAAGCATATCGTTTGTTTTTATGACATATATATATATATATATGTAATATAAGAAACTATTAGAAAGCATATTCTTACCAGTGTATGATTCTTACGAAAATAATAGGTAGTTCCTTAATTTGTCTATGTGTATAACCACTAGGTTATTTTTTCTTATTCTTGTAGTTAGATCTAGATCAAAATATAGTATTGTTCATCTTTTATTAAAACAAAAAAAAAGAACATGCATTTTTTCATGAGTCAAAATTATCCGACCACTACAAAAAATAACAATTTCTGACGCGAAACAAAAGCTTTTTTGGCACAATTAGTATCTAGTTGGATAACCTTTCATCTTTATAGCCTCATGTAACCGATTTGGAATTGAGTCAACCAACTTTTTTAATACTGGTTGCTCAATACCATTCCAAACTCGAAGTAGAGCTTCTTTTAGCTCTTTTTTACTTTTTGGTTGCTCTTTTTTCATTCTTCTTTCAACTTCATCCCATAGATGCTCTATGGGATTCATGTCGGGTGAACAGGAAGGCCATTTGAGTCGTTCAACCTGTTTCCGATTCAACCAATTCGTTACAATAGCTGCCCTATGTTTCGGGTCATTATCATGTTGGAAGACCCAGTCCTTGTTTAGCTTCAAATTCTTTACTGATTGTAATAGATTGTTGTCTAGAATATCTCGATACACTTCTCCCGTCATATTTTCATCAATAAAAACCAAGTTGCCAACCCCTGATGATGAAAAACATCCCCAACACATCACACTTCCTCCACCATGCTTGACAGTTGGAACTGTACATTGAATATTGAATTCTTCTTTAGGTGTTCGCCAAACCATTACCTTTCCGTCTGATCCAAATAAGTTGAATTTACTTTCATCTGACCAAATAACATCATTCCAGAAGCCAAGAGGCTTTTCTCGATATGTTCGAGCATATTCAAGTCGTTTGGTACGATTGAGTCTGTTGATATACGGCTTCTTCCTTGCTACCCGACCATAAAAACCAGCTTCATGAGCTCTTCTTTTGATTGTTGATTCAGATATAGTAATGTTAAGTTCAGATTGAAGTTCAGCTTTGACAGTTGATGATGAAATGCGGCGATTTGTTTTGATTTTTCGTCGTATACAACGATCAACATGAGCTGTTGTTTTTCTTTTTCGACCTTTGCCAATTATATTTCCAATACATTTCGTTGATTTGTACTTGGCAATTATGTAATGAATAGATGTACGTGGAATGAAAGTTTTTTGAACAATATCACGCTCAGAATCACCATTCAAAAAGTGGTTTACGACAAGTTTGCGTAAGTCGTTTGTATATTCGTTCTTTTTCCTAGGAGCCATGATAGAAAATGCTTGCTGAGCAACGAACAAATTCAAGTCATACGCGCCAAACGTAATTACATAATATAGATGACTCTAGTAGACAATTCAGTAGAATAAATTAATGATTTCTCAGCGTAAACACATGTGGTCGGATAATTTTGACTCATGAAAAAATGCATGTTCTTTTTTTTTGTTTTAATAAAAGATGAACAATACTATATTTTGATCTAGATCTAACTACAAGCATACAACAGATGATGGCCTATAACATGGTGAAAGTCACAGGTCTCTAGCTAACTTCATCTCTGAAATACAAAAGAAACAATTTTTTTTTCTAAGGTGGTCGGATAATTTTGGCCGCCACTGTATATATATATGTAATATAAGAAACTATTAGAAAGCATATTCTTACCAGTGTATGATTCTTACGAAAATAATAGGTAGTTCCTTAATTTGTCTATGTGTATAACCACTAGTTTATTTTTTCTTTATTTACAGTTCCGAGGAGCATTTTACGCAGCGCATGAATGAAATATTTCCCCTTACAAACATCATCTAAGTATGACAAAATATTGATGACTCGAGTTATCATTATAAAAAATTTACGGTTCCAGCGATTTCGGTTCCGGTTGCGTTTCCTTTTATTTCTCGGATCCGGTTCCGATTCCAGATCTGAGAAGCTGCCTAGACAAACATCTTGTAAACAAGATCTTGGTCAAGATACAAGGTACATATATGTTAACAGATCTTGGAAATTCAGGTACAATATAACTGTATTATCTTGTTCCCAAGATCTAATTACAGATCTTACATAAGAATCCATTAAATCTTGGATGCACACTAAAATAATACCTGCTGCATTCTTTAATATTTTTTCCATTTATTTTCATTTTAATTATTCCTCTCCCGAATTCCAGCAAATCAGATGTTGGGATCTGACTGGCTATAAATTGGTCCGATATCAGGCGGACCAATTAGGGAAGCCCTCTCTCGATCATCGATCGAGATCAGCATTCTCTCGAATAATCGAGAAATAGTTGAGAAAAAAAATTTTGAAAATTTGTATTTCGTATGTTCAATCATGCTGTTTATATACAGCTGTGTGTGCATTTAAAAAACAGTGAATGACTAGAGAGCATGTAAATACACTAATGATGTCGCTTTCTGTTTCGCTCAAGATCTTATCAGAAGATAATAGTACACGATATTTTTTCCATGATCTTGCCAAGATCTTAAGTACAGATTTATCTGATACAACCAAGATATGTACATACAAATTATCTTTTTAAGATCTTAATAAGATCTTACTTACCGATCCCAAGATTCCCAGATCTTGCTTACAAGATGTTCGACTAGGGCATCTATATTGAAAGGACTATACTGTTTTTAGTAAAAAGAATGGATTCATATACAATATTTCTTCATCCCGTGGGACGATGGGATGGTATGGGACTGTCCCATCCAACGCGGGGCTCTTGCATACGATAAGATAATTGCCTAATATCATATTTTCAACGGTTGATATTTCTCAGTGGGTTCTATACTTTTGTTTTTTACTCAATTATTTGTTATCCCAGCAGATTCAATCCGACAATAGGATCCGACAAGATCCGATTATATCCGATAGAGTTCCTGTATGATCCCATCGGATTTCAATAGAATCCTATAAGGATTTCATCGGAATCCTGGTTCAGGACCTAAAGTCAGATCCTAAGTGTCGGAATCCGACGGAAATTTCCTTGACGCATCCGATGGGAAACAGTTATCATGAATTTCTTGTGTCCGAGAGTGGGAAACCGATGATAATCCTATAATTTCCGATAGACAAGCTCAGTAGGATCCATTGGGTCTGACAGTCCTACGAAATTTCTATAAGAACCTACCAGATATCACCATGTTCCTATGGGGCACGTCAGGTTCCAACACTTATAATCCCAAGAGATTTCCTACACTTGATTCTTATCGAATCCCCTGAATTCCAATAGGATCTCGAAGGATCCGATGAAAAACCGGATAATATGCTTTAGTGTAGACTATTCGCTGATGCCATGGTAGCCCACACAACAACTAAAGAATAAGAAATTAAAAAATATATTGCAGCTGCTAATTTGAACAATAGACTCAAAGGACGAGTACACAATTTAATACACTATAAAGAAATTGAGTGGCAAATACAATTAAAACAAATTCAGCGAAACCGAAAAAACTAAAAGGTTCTTCCCTGTATCCACCTAAAGTACGTGTCTAACGGTTTTCCAAAACAGAACATAAAATAGTTTCCAAACGAACCATGCAACCTGACGAGATATCTCACTGAACTCACTACTTCTTTATGCCACGAAAAAAACTAGCTAAGGTTTTATCCAAAACCATAAAAGATTACTTCGAACGTCACACTGGTAGATTATGTGCATTTTAAAAGTCTATACCATTGTACATGTCACCACCGTTTACCAGCTTCATTTCCAACTAGCAACATCACGAGCCTCCACTTTCTTCGAAATGCTCAGGAATGGTGAACATATCTTCTACTCCACACTCAACAGAGTAGCATTTCTGCCGAACGTATCACAGCCGCGAAACAATAGCGCACACGCACCGCCTTTTAATTGCTTACAAATCTCACAATTATTCAAGCTTACTACATTAAGCCCTATTTTAGCACGAATACTCTATCTAAAATTCCAAAAATGTTTTTTTTTCAAGTTTGAATCAGCGCTGTTTCAGCACTACTAGTTTATCTCAGATTGCAAAAACTTTGCTTTTCAAAATTAAATCAGCGCCGTTTCAGCAGCAGTTGTATTACTGAGATTCTAATGTTCAGTTTTTTCTGACTAATGCTCTTCTGCTGGAAAGCGAAGTTGATGTGACTGATTTTTTTCATGCATTTGTTTCTTTTTTGTGCATATTTTGAGATGGATTGTATTGGGTGATAGTGCGTGTAGTTTCTGTGGAATAGCTAGTGACATTGTTTTTTTGAGAATAATTTAGGAGGAATCTTATTAGTTGAGTGGTGGTATGGCCCATAACAAAGTTTTGAGATGCATATAGACGAGTGTAGCCATTTTCAAAGAGACTGTTAGAATCCGACTGGAATCTTATTTGAATCCTAGTGCCGGAAGTCCCATCGGTTACTGCAGTCGTATATCATTAGATATTCATCGGGATCCGACTGTCGGATCCGTCACTGATTCCTCAACCAAGAATCCCACCAGATCCGATGGGATCCAACATCGGATTCATTCACCTGGGATTATCTTTGAGCAGAGCTCATTTTATTATTATAGCAATCACACGACAGGATATATATCATTGAATTAGTAGAAATAATATGAATGAACTTGCTCTTCAAATAAGATTAATAATACAATAATGAAATGAAGATATTATATATTCTGGACGTTGTGTAGAAATAGTTTAATCAAGGTATACAATAATTCAAACAATAAATATGCAAATATCATAAATGAAGAAACAAGGTTATTATGCATTCACTTAAAAAATGAATGTAAATCAGTAAATAAATGATCGTGTTCGGTCAAGTATCTCTAAAGATAGGTTTTTTAAAGAAATTTTAAAATGATTTATATAACTCGGTATTTCAAAAGAAGTCATTGTAAATTTATAATGTTAAAGAATACGGTGCAACCGAGTTGATCGGAAAAGTATTAGATTTTTCTAACGCTTCTCTCTCCTGAAATCAAAATAATTTCATGGTGACCTATATTTTGTAGATTGAAATGGTGAAGTTCGAAGGATTCGGCATCTGATAATCTACTTTTTCCTCCTTGCTATAGTATCAGACTGCAAAAGAACGATATTTTTGCTGATAAGCGATACGATCAGTTTTTCTTGTGTTGATTTTCATAGAACTCGTAGTATGATTTTTAGAAAAATAAACTATAGTGTAATATAATATAGTTTCAAAGTAATCAAAGTAACAGACTTCATTCGATGATGAAAAGCTCTAGAATTTTATAACAAACTTTTTACCAGCTAAATTAATGTTTAGAATGAGAAAGTAGAATACAGAAATCAAACAAGTAAATCTCTCAAGGGTTTTCATTTGAAGTGTACCTTGAAAATAGCCATACCCTATTTTCGACCACAAAAATTCACAGATTTCTTTAAATGTGACTACAAAAGTAGTTAATGAATATCATTTCATTAAAGCAAGAGGAAGTCGATTGAATATCGAAAATCTCTTTCTGTTTATAACATAAAATGATTTAATATCAATTTTACGGAAATTATGCACTATAATATAAAAATTTGTCTTCAACTAAAAAAACATGGCGAAACTGTGTATTGTTGTATTTTTTTTATCAATAATGTGAATAATATGGTTCTATTATTACAACAATAACAATAATGCCCTCCTCGATTCCGTGTTCACGTTGTCGTCGTGAGGAGGCTTACTCAGATTCCTCTACCCACAAGGTAAAGGAAGATGGGGGCCAAGAGACACGGATAGTCCGTCAGGACTTGCAACCCGCACGGATGAAATTAAATATGCAGCGACTCAGCAAAACCAAAGAGTCCCAAACGGCG